ATAAATTTCACTATCATTCAGTTCATGCTCAAAGTTCCTATAAATCACTACTATAAATCCCTACAAGACTTATTAATCTTGGTTACTACGTCACGCTCGTTGAACATATGTTTTCCTCAAACTTTAATTTTCACATTTAAAATTTAAAATTGGGCTTAAAATTATCAAGTATATAAATATCTCTAGCAGAATCATTTAAATGTAACAATAAAGTGCAATAACTGTCCTCACGTAGGATTTGAAAAGAAATTGATCTCTAAAATTTGTTTGGTTGGGTAATAATTTTTGACATTTCTAAATTGCGTCATAAAATAACTATTCTACAATAATTTGTGTTTTTTAAGCGTTTGTGAAAATTTCCATAGGATGAAGAATAAAAGTAAACAATTTTCAAGTTACTAAATAAATATTGGCAAAACTGGAGACCAAAGAATTAAAAAAGAATCAGGAGATGCATTAAATACGATCATCTTACTTTTCAAAGATCAGTCAACGCCTTTGCTGCTACATTTGATTTGAATATGTCCAAGAAAATCAGTTATAGAAAAAAAAAAATTTTGTTTTATCATGTCTTATCCATCAGTGTTAGATATAAGTAAGAAAGTTTACAAAAAAATCCCTTGCTGCCGTTACTGCTATATATATATTGCAGATAGAGGGTGTCCAATCGGTAAGAAGTTTTCCTACCGTTTCATCCGCTCATCCACTAGCACGAGAATTACCTTACCTATCGGCCACTGGATATCCGATGAGCTTTCGCAAGCTCTGCCTCCAGTGTGTAGGTACCGCCGATAGAGTGCGATCGCAATGCTCGGATGAAAAGCGCTTTGAAGATTTTGAATAAAATAAAATTCTTTTTTTCGACATGTCTATACTTCTTATTTAATTTCTTATAACAACAATAAAACAAATATTTATTTCAATTCTTTGGAAGATACGTGTACTGGCTTATCGGGAATTATTTGCATACAGCAGATTCAAATTTACGACTTAATCTTTTTAAAAAATTGAGCTTTAAAAATCTCGCTCCATCGTTGGGACATCAAATTTTTCCATAGTATAATTATTACACATTTTTCAACATACATTATCATTTGTACCCTTGTAATATGGGTGTTATTCTTTTGAACAAAAATTAAAAAAAAAACAATCGTCTGTTCATCTGCTAATCAACAGTAAGTACCCCTGTGTTCCGTAAAAACAGTTTTTTACAAGTGCCAAGACTTTGATTTCGTTTTTCGCTAGTGAGTTGTAAAATCCACAAACACTTACTTCAGCACTTACAAGTACACACGTGTGGAGAGCGCTTGCTTTGAATATTACACGAGTGCACGTTCCATTGTCTCCTTTCGCCTGTACATGCAGTCCTGAAACTTTGGGTACGTATATCCAGACCATTATTGTCTTGGCGTGACTTTGGAAAATTTAATTTTCATCGATTTCTCGTCATGGAGGCAATCCGGGGTACCGAGAAAATGAAATTTTCGACTGCGATCGACTGTATGTGCTTGTGCGCCATATGTGGCTGGTATAGGTATCAATTTCCCTGATTTCATTGGGTACTCTGCCCGATAGTGCTTCTCTCTCGTTCGTTGCCAGTACAATAGAATAATGCAGAGATTATTCTATTTTTGCACAGCTAGATAGAGTGTACGTGTAATATCAACTTGGACTATTATTACTACTGTTTTTTATCCACGATACGGTTTTCTTCCATTATTGTTGTCAAATGATGCAACTTTTTTGCTGTACGTTTTTGTTCAGATAAATTTTCTTTTACAATGGCTACTTTGATCTCTACTAAAGTAATTAAGTTGTTTAACGCTTGATTGTATTGCCTTTTTTTTTAAATTTATTACATGAAAATTGAATGCATTGCATGCAAATTACGTAAATATGCAATTTTTATACAATAGATAGGACTTTGAATTTTTTTTAAATTTCGGGATTTATGGTACATCGAAATGAAATCACTTTTTAAACGTAGAATCGATGGGCAATCGCTAGAAATGTTTAATAAAGCTGCAAAATTATAAAAAGTATTAAAATTAGGAAAAGAAAAACTTATTTTACACAAGCACATTACGTACATACTTTGTTGCAATAATGAATTGTAAAAAAAAAAAAAAAAAATTAAATACATAAATGAATAGAAAATGAAATAAATGGAAATTAATTGAAACACATTGAGAATTGATCGAAGTAACAAACTATTTTTAATAATACATCCAAGACGATCTTTTTTTTTTATCTCGCTGAAATCAATAGACATACAACCGTATCTTGGTAAAGAATAAATTCCAACGAAAAATAAAAAAAAGTCTGTATGTGTGTGTTACTTCTATTAATCTTTGCTCCCCGAGGTCCAACAATGGCCTCATAAATCATGCGTGTATATACAAGTTCAGCGCAGTGAAGACCTTATTTCCTAGATCTACACTTTTGTACGAAAACACACCGATTTCTGTAAATTCTGATCCGATCCATATCGGACCGTCATCTCGATAAGCTTGTTGTCGGGGTCTCCATTCCAAAGGAACCAATTATGTTCTCGTATCAGGAAAGTATGAAGAATCGTGGAATCGGTCCCCCCTCTCAAATACTCGCGTATGCAAAGACATCGTTAAACCCCCTTCCCTCCCAGGATTTCCTCAGGTCTGTTTCATTGAAAATAGCAGCCGCAAACACAAGTGAAACTTTTCGGCCACTCGGTAATAATAAGTCCTTTACCTTTCCATCGCCATCCCTCATAAAAGAGCAACGAAAAAAGATCAAGCACACCCACTTCAACAACTCCTCGCCCCTCGCTATTTTACTATATATATGCACACGCTACATAACACGGAAATCCCCGTGCCGCGTGCCATCAATCAGTGCGCTCTGAATTTAAAAAAATCCTCGCCGACAGCCATCAAGCTCCTTCGCTCCTCAACCCCGCCGACCTCCTCGGCTGTACTGCTGCTGTACTCGCTTCTGCTGGCGTTTCGGACACCACCGCGACGACCCGGGTAAATAGGTTAATAGACTAGTCGACTATGTATGTACTTACCCCCCCCCCGCCCACTGCCACCCTGGTACCAGCATATACGTGCACACACGTACGTAAGCGCGGAAAGGAGGGCTTACGTGCGTCGCGTCGTGATATGCCCGCATCGCGTATGATACGCGTACATATATATTCCATTCCATTGCGAAGTAAGAGGGACGCGTGATAATAGGTATCGTTGTTGTTTTCGCTCGAACATCTCCTCCCAACCATTTCTTTGTGTTGGGCTGTCAAAACGCTCAAAGTATATATTCTATTACGTGGTGGTTGGCTTTCAGAGTTGTAGAAAAAGGAAACAAAAACAAAAATAATAATAATAATGCATCAACCAATGGGAATTTATTGCTTTTGCAACAAAAGTAAAGGAAACGAGAGCGAGAGTCGATGAATAATTCATCGGTGCTAACGTAGCGTGGCGCCGTTACTTTTATTTAAATTGTGTTGCAAAATCCAGGTGTTATCTTTAAACTAAATGTTTATTCATACATCTTTATACTCTTTCTCCGTTGTGTTCGCTTATGTGTATACTGCACAATTTTTGTGCGTCTTACCAAAATATGACTTTTTCTACTTGAACGCCTCTTTAATTAGGCGCCCAGTGCGTCTTACCAAAACGCGACCTTTTCTACTTGAACGCATCTTTAACTAGGCGCCCAGTGCGTCTTACCAAAACGCGACCTTTTCTACTTGAATGCATCTTTAACTTAGAGCCCTTTTGCCTTTTTCCGTTTATTATACTAAATATCTAATACGTCGGAATAAAAGAGAGTTAAAATATGAGATGAATGAAACATAGTAACCCAAGCCTTGTTGTCAATAAAAAAAAAAAAAAAAAAAAAAAAACTTGTGTCGTAACCGTCAAGGCTCAAAGCTTCGCTGCGACGATCGTCCAAGCTCGTTCATTACGAACAGATGACATTGACAGATCAATAATGCACATCACCGCTCCAAGTCTATTAGAAATCACTATTGCCATCTTCGCTCACCGTCAGCTTCTTTATATCTGTATAGTGTGTTTATAAAAAAAGAAGAAAGAAAAAACAAGTGTGCTCACAGTTGATGCGATCAAAAAATTGCACCGTTTGCCAGTACATACGTGTATACTTTTATGCAAATCGGCTCCTATTCTGTCCTATAACGTATAGCGTATATAACCAAACGGCGGCTGGCATTTTATAGTTCCTAATTCAGGTGTATTCAACAGAAGGAGCTCACGGCAATTTGCATTTTCAAATTTATTTAAAAGTACAGTTGCAAAATTCCTTCCCCCCTCCCCTTCCCACAATCTTCACGGGATGATATTCATGAAAATGCACGAGTATGAATACATGAAACCCGGGAACGGTTACCGTGTGGCTTTTGATTATGGTAAAACCCGAACAAAGTTTTTTTTCTTTCTTCCCGCAATAACGGTATAGGCAAGAGAAAGGTAAAAAAAAGAAGCAAGGTGAAACAGGTTACTGTATTTGCTCAAGTATGTATACGTGTGTATACGTATTGACTCGTTGCACAGGAAAAATATTTCTTGTTCTGAGCTGGGGCGGCTATTTAACTACTCATATGGATGCGTGCCTGCGGATATGTATAAGTACATGCATTAGATGAATCGAACTACCGGATTATAAAGGTATACGTACGCGACTATCGCGCAATTGTACCTGTAAAAGGCAAAAAGCACTTGGCAAGTATAGGCAATACAGGCGTGTTAGAAAGCGCAAAGTAAAATTGCAATAGTACACCTACACAACAAAGAGTCGCCACGTGTTCGTTGTACACGTATATATATATTGGTGTACATGTATACCTGATGGCGAGCTACACGTGTATATATATATATATATATATATATATATATGAGTGCAGGCAACGAGCACGTATAACAAAAGTATACGTATATAGCGTGTACAGGAGAGGAGCGAAGATCGGGATACGCGGCGCCAGTCCGGGCCGCGCGTCTCTGCCGAGCGCACACGCTCTGCAGCGCTTTTTACTGCTGGTTGTGTATATGTGTATACATGTTGTACGAAACGCGGCGGGCCAACACGAGGGTGTTGCGTTGCTCCCCCGCTGGTGATGTGCGAGAGTGCAAGTTTCAGGAGGGGAGGCACGGCGCTCGAAAGCTTCGGCTAGTCTGCGCCCTCAGGGCTGCTCGCTTATCAGTTGGGGCTGGAGTCCCGAGCGGCGCGCGTCGCACCCTCTCTCTATCGCCCTGCCATACAGATTGCGAGGCTCTATAGGACGATTCGTTTGTCACAGTTTCTTTAGTTTGGCTATTTTTTTGAGTGAGAAGTGGATGACATGGAGGGCTGACGGCTGGAGTCCCTCAATCCATCGACCGGCTGTTTACTAGGGAAAGCTCCGCTTATCGGTACGTGTTCTTTTTTTTTTCCTTCTTTTGTAGTTTGAATTTACGCGCCCTAGGAAATGACCAATTTTGCGCGCTTCAAGGATGCAGGGGGAATTCCCATTGTGGCGGTTTTTGTTTTTTGGTACACAACCTCTCGAGGCCCTCAATATTAACCTTATCGAAGTTTGGACGGGAAATACGTTTTTTAATTGCAAGCTCACGGCCGATGGTTTTGGCTTTGTGTGAAAAAAAAAAATTTTGGACTTATCAGTTATAAGTACAGGGTAAAAACAAAGTCTAGGATTTATATTCATGCTCAACTGGCACGACTTTGCTGCAAAAATTCATTACGAGATTATGCGTTTGCTAAAGTAGATAGATTAAATTTTATTCGAAAAATTTCTTGCGGATTGTGAGTTTTTTTTTTTTTTTTCTCGAGTTTGCATTAGCGAGCGTTGATAACTCTCGTATTTTTCTCTCTGGCGTGGTTTAAACGCGACACTGCCAAGCCCCGAGTTGCCTCGCACTTGCCGTGGAAACGTAAGATTTTCAATTTAATTTTAACGAGAAACGCGAGCGAGTGAAAATTTAATTCGCCACCAAGCGCATGGATCGTTTGTTTTCGGAACAAATGTTTTCCTTCTGCGTGTCGTCATGTCGAATGCAATAAAAGTATCGAGTATCAACGCGTTTACCGAAAGAGGAAAGAAGAAAAAAAGTACGTATACACGACAAAAAGAGCCGTACCGTTGGATAACCCGATGCGACAGCTAATACGGCGATAAGATGGATTACGCGATCGCGTCTCTCTCGCGAGCAAACAAAAGTGCACCCAAGCCCGTGGCTAAGAATAATCTAATCGTCGTTCCGCAAATAGCCGAGTTATTTATTATTCGTTCGTCAAAAGCTTATCGCGCTCTAAATAAACCGGCTGGTCTACTTCCCCTTCCCCTCCTTCTTCCCAGTAACAATACTTAATTATATAATACGCGGTAATTATTATTATTAAAAAAATAATAATAATAATAAAAATAAAAATAAACTATCGAAGCACGTAACAAGCCAATGTATACCGCGGCGGCGATAATTGAGCGATTAGCGTTAACTTTAACGAGCGCGTACATATGTGTGGACTTACTTCGAGGAAAAATAATTCAATCGAGAATTCACCCGACATTACCAATTGGCCATTATGTATACCTACGCGCGTCTGAAACAGTGGAGACCCTTTTTCCGCGAAAGCCAAAGACACGAGAGCTGCCTATCTCAAACTTGACCTGAATTCGCGGGCACACGCGAGAGACTAATTTTTCTTTTTCTTTTTTTTTTTTTTTTTTTCCTTCTTTTATACTTTCGAGCCCCGTGCAGTCGAGGTATATAGTGTATATCGAGAGAGAAAATACACAAGTGCCTTCTCTCTCTCTCTCTCGTGGAATTCTATTATTTCGCTCGCCCACCGAGAAAAGTTTAACAATTAAGCGAAGCCAAGCTGCTTTTATACACACAACTGAGCAGCGCTCCCTCAACTTTTTACTCTCGAAAAAAAAAAAAAAAGAGCACGGGTTGTTTTTTTCTTTAACATGCCGTGACGACAACAATGCCGGTGACTTTGTACGAAAAAGTTGCATATGTGCGTATAGAGGCGAGCTTGCAAGCTCTTGAGAGCGAACAACAGCGATTTCAGCGCCTGAAAGAGAGAGAGAGAGAGAGCCGATTACAGATTTTCAAAGCTAAAAATAAATCGCCACGAAAATACACAAGCGGCCGTACACGTAAGCGTCCGTAGGTAGACAAGCGGAGGCAAATTGGCCGCGACCCGCGGAAGACGATGCTTGAACTGGGTTACGCTCGATCTGTGGATGCCGGTGCTGGTGATGGTCCTTGAAAATCAACCGGAAACCCCGGGGCGCGGACACGCTACTTTGCTCTAATAGAGGCGCTCTTCTTCTCCCTCTGACTCTGTAATTTCGGGGCACGAAGTTTCAAGAGCCGACACCTTTTATCGCACCCCCTATACGTTTCGAGGGTAATCGCTGCGGTTACAACAGTACATTGGTGGTGATGATGTCGGAGTGGGGATAATTGGCTCCTCCCCAGTTCTACTTTCGGGATTTTGCCCTTGTTTTTTGTTTCCCCTCACTCGAGAACGTACTCATCCGCGTTATTATCATCGCCTTTTTTCTTTCACCGAAAGTCAAGCTTTATCCTTTTTCAGTCTAGAGGACGATTTTTTTGTCCATACTTATCATTTGCCCTTCCTTCGCAGCGATCACCAACCCAATGTTATTTTTCAAAACCATTGCGGTCCAGCCCGGAAGTTGGCACAAGAAAAAAAAAAATACACCCTCGCGATACCCAAATGCGTAACACGTGCATTAAATTCCGCATTTCGATTTCCCGGTCTCATTTCGCCGGTACAAAATCAACTTGGATTCATCCAACGTACCCCATCAAATTCAATTCCCAAAACAGGCACGAGGACGCAAAGCTCCCCAACCCGGAAAAAAAAGAGGACGGCAAAAGCTCTCGTTCGAAAGCTCAGCGCCTTAGAGCGGCAATTCGTCTTCCGAGGAGCTTCGCTTTGTCTCCCGGCTGGTATTAAATCCCCCCTGGCACGGCTCCTCTAAATCTCATCATCCGACCATAGCAAAGAAGAAAAAACAAGGTTAACGAGCTAAAGGATGACTTGGAGGGGGGAGTTGTGTACAACAACTAATCGCACCATCGTCGCGAAACAGGGACAGCTGCGATTCCAAGGAATTGATGCTCAAAGGGCTACAAGGCGGGGGAGGGGGTGTCGCGCAGCTGCACGCGACAACGCTTTATTTGCGAATCCTAGGATTTACGTACAACACTTGTGGGGGGGGGGGGAGTTCTCGCGTATACAACCTTGCCGGGCGCACTTCGGACGGACTGACGTAGATACGCACGAGGATTTTGCATGTAACTGCACAATCGAGATTTATGGCTTACGCGTGTATACACGGCGTGTAAAGCTTGTCAAACTTTAGCTAAAGGCAGAGGCAACGGAAGTTCGCCGTTTCGTTGGTGCGCGTGCCATTTTCCGTTGAAAGACGGGTGTGATTATTACACGCCGTTTAATTAAAAAATGAAACGTTGAAATCCCTGTGTAGAATGACACTGTAATTTCTCACCTACTCGATGCGTATGAAAAAAATAAATAAATAAAAAAAGCCGAGGATGACGACTACTCGCGAGAGTTTGACGAAATTCGTGTATATTCCTGGGCTCCCCGTCACGTTCGCCCTGTGCACCTTACTTCGACCCTCCGAGGGTCTCTTTTTTCGTTGGCAACAACGACGAGGAGCTTGAAGCAGCAGCCACTCATGTGTACGCGTACATACCCTTTTTCCCGAGATAGTATGCAGCTACGTACCCTCAGACTCTCTGCTATGATAATACTCGAGGAGACGAAGCAGAGTTACAACAATGACTCCCCCCCTCCGCCGTTGTTGTCGCTGTACCTACACATGGGGGGAGAGAGCGCTCGTTTACTTGTCAACACAAAGACCCTTGGCCGGTCGATGTACCTGCAGACACGTGTCGGACAAAAGCACACGGCTCGAGAATATAAAAAAAAAAGAGAGAAAAGTCTCGAAAAGTCGGCGCGTGTGCGAGAGAATCTCGGCGTCCGGGGGTGTACATTTATTCTTCATTCGAGCTCCTTCCTTACTTCCTTTTTTTTTTTTTTTTTTTTTTTAGTATCGTGTTGTACATCAGAAGTTGATCCGAAAAATTGATACATATAACAAACAAAAAAATATTGTCTCCCTGCGGTGATGGCATAGTAAAAACCTATTTCATCGCATCTATGTGAGTTTTCGCATGCACGAAAGCACGCACAGTATTGATTTTTACGCTGAAAGTATCCGTTGTTTTCTGTGCAAGGCGATGCTGGCCTCTTCTTATTTTCTAGCACGGCATCTTCTGTNTTTTCTTCTTTTGGTGCGAATAAATGTTTATGCCCTACTCGATCGCGTGTTCGTACAAATACAGAGGTCGATGGCTCACCCGAGATAACTCGACGCGTATAGTGGCCCTTTCGTGCTATAACGCGATTCGTACTTGGGACTCGATAATGGAATCGGTAACCAACGAACGCAGGTGTGTTTGCACGCTATTTCCGTCTTTATTTATTTATTTTTTTATTTATTTTGTTTTTTCCTCTCGTTCCTTGGATTTTAATCACGACGAGCAACAAGAAAGCCGTACTCACGGGAGCGTTTATTTTTTATGAAACTTGTTTTGACTAAAAATCGCGCGTGTATGGGTAATCAGAGGGCGTTTGGCGTGCAAACGATATGCAAATCCAACGGGGACGTACAGAGTTGCAGTAAACGGCGTGACAAAACTCGTTGGTATAGTTTCATGAGTTTTTAATTGCACGGGGCTTCAGCTAAGTGGAGCAAGAAAATTTCGGGTGCAAAGGTTTGTTCGCGCTTTCGTGGTCCTTTTTTACCATCATCTATACGCATCGTGTAAGTTGGAAGGCCTCGAAACAGGGGCGGGGGAGTAGGGGCTAGTTTGCGAAAACATTGAACGTAAACAGTTGCAGACGGTCAACAAGGACAGACGTGAATGGGTGTGATGAACCTGCATTAATATAAGGGCATGAACATCAGCTTTGGAAAATAGGACACTGCATGAACATTTTACTTAAATAACGTGTTAATATAAATTAGACCCTTGACATTCGGATAGAAAAATCGACATTTGTTGACAACTGTTGTTGGTGTAACATCGGCAAAGAATATCGTGAGTAGGGAATGGAAAAAAAATGACGGATGGATGGGTGTGGTACAATGTACGTGGAAGCCAACGAAATTAGGAAAGGACATCAATGTCTGAGTATTTTATTAAATACGAAGCTCGAAACCTCGTAAGAGACGACAGAATTCCGGTGATATTGGACATAATTTATTTCGCTGGATTGCTACGTTATGTACCCGCAAAAAGAAAATATTGGATTTTCGACGACCAATAAAGAGAAAAATATATTC